TTTTTTTTTTGAATATTGAACCATTGGAGTAAAGGAGCGCCGGGATGAGCGAGTCAATTTCATGTTTACCATTTTTGTTATAGTCCGAGACGCTATTCTGCGTAGATAGGACGTTTGGCCTGACCTTCCTACGTTATCTTATCAGCATATAGACCATGGGATTTACTCTGATACGTTTTCCTCTTTATTGCGTTTAGTGTCCCACACTCTTTCAAATGCTGTGATTGCGTCTCTACCATTTCCTCATAATCATGCTTAAGCCAATCACTGTCACTTCGCAATCCGACCTCATGATGATCGAAACTGGGCCGCGTCATCGTGCCAGCAGAGTTCCACAGCTATTGTTAGCAAAAGTTGACAAAGTGCCATGAATGGGGCTGTAGATTTGACTGGCCTACTCGTCCTTCCCCTATTCCAACTACGTTTTCATCTAAAACTATTACAAGCCTATTTTGTCTCTGAAATGGTGAACTTGCCCACCGATCAAAAGCGCACCCATTCAATCAGGAAGGCTCGCAATAATCTTTGGTCCGTTAATGCGATTCATAGGTGTCCCGGCCACATAGACGGAAATTCGATTCCGGTTTTGTCATTGACTTTGTGGTGGGCGCATAATACGTAATGGACGCAAAAATTCGTGAACAGCATACTTTATTCCATAGCATAACCTTGTTTGAGTACACCTATCCCTGTGTATAAGACATCGGAAGAAGACCTTGGGCAAAAAGAAGGGCTGTGGGACGGAGGCGTCTGGCGATGTTGCATCACTCACCAGACGCCTCTATGCATCACCAGACGTTCGGGCCAGACCCACAACTGAACTAGTGTAAAAGCCGGGCTCTTTGCGGAGATTTTGCAAAAAGTCGGAGAAGATATAAAGAGGTCTTCTTCCAATAACATTATATTCATCAGAGCAGGTGATCTTCTTATTTGGACATGAACTATGCCTGTGACGAGAGTCCTATGCTCGGTATCAACTCATGATTCTTCGGTCTAAACAATGTGAACCATTTGCAAAAATGCGGAATGCCAATCAATCTTGGTTTGGGTCTACAAAATTCAGTTTCCCTCGAAATGTGAGCGAAAGTATGTAGCCATACTGTAGATGCTCGTCACTGTGCATGGAAGCGAATGAAATTCCTACCGTTTCCCTTTTCAGCAAAGGTGAGAAGAACTTTTCCAAAGCCATCGGGTAGCAAAGGCCAGCAGGAGTTATGTGCTGTCTTCCGAACACAAATTGTTCCCATTAATCAACTCCTATTTGAATTTTTCCCATACTGAAACTATTTATTCGTACTATCTACTGAGAGGTGCTCTTGTTCCTTACGCATCATGTATGGGTGACTACCCCTAGGAGCACTCATTGACCGACCACTAAGCCGGGACGTCTTTGATCATCCCGTCTAAAAAGGTGTACTGAGCCAGTAAAAAGGAATGAATTGCAGTGAGCCCTGATCGATACAAGTGCCCACTTCCTGTAGCTCCTAACCGCAGCTACACCGCGTGTTTAGGGGTGTATTTACGTAACATCCACTCTTGTTTTCGTGCTGGCTGTTTGCCGCAAATCAGCCGACGAGCAGTGGCCGCCCCGCATTCGAGGTCGCGTCACGTGTAGGTTGGCTTCGATTTTATTTGGTCTAGCTGGTCTGCCTGCTCATTGTTGTTTCCTCCTCACTGTTGCAAATTTTGCTCACCATCATGCCTTAGTCCCTTACTGTGTGTCGTGCAACTTGCTCAATTCTGTACTTTTCAGGATGGGACGTGACGAGACTCGTGTGTATGTGGGTAATCTGCCACCAGATTGTAGGGAGAAGGATCTTCAAGACATCTTCTCCAAATACGGAAACATTCGTTTCATCGATATCAAATCCGGACGCGGACCAGCCTTCGCTTTCGTCGAGTTTGAAGATTCACGGTGAGTGCATTTATCGTGGATTGTAGATCAACTCCAAGGGCTCTCTGTCAAATCTCGTTGGCTTCTCTTTACATATTCCACGCAGGCCAATGTTGAATATTCAGAGAACTCGATAGCTGTCATTTTGCACTGTTTCAATTTCCAGAGACGCCGAAGATGCAGTACGCGCTCGGGACGGCTATGAATTCGATGGGTCTCGTATTCGTGTCGAATTCACCCGTGGACGTGGTGGTGGCCGCGGTGGGTTTGGTGGTCGCGGTGGTGGCTTCGGTGGCTATAGCAATCGTGGAGGCGGCTACGGAGGTTATGGTGGTGGAGGAGGCTACAGTGGTGGTGGCGGCGGTCGTCGTGGTGGTGGTCCTCCCAATCGTCGGACCAACTATCGCGTCATTGTGGAAGGCCTTCCGGCATCCGGTTCCTGGCAAGATTTGAAGGTACTTTCCTTGACTATCCTTATACAACGTTTCATTTTATCTCCTTCGCAGAATCACTTTAAGGACCATATGCGAGAGGCAGGAGAAGTCTGTTATGCGGACGTATCTCGCGACGGTACCGGTACGGTTGAGTTTTTACGCCTTGATGATATGAAGTATGCTCTGAAGAAGCTCGACGACACAAAGTTCCGGTCGCACGAAGTGAGTCCTCTTCTATTCACAAAAGAGACGTTCTCTCTTTATTTTGAATAGCTTTAAATTTGTTGCAGGGAGAGACGGGATACATTCGCGTGCGTGAAGATAACAGCAGTGGAGGTGGTGGCGGTGGAGGCAGTCGTGGCCGTTCTCGATCACGCAGTCCTCGCGGTCGGGACTCACCGAAGTACAGTCCCCGACGTTCACGTTCGCAGAGTCGTTCGGCATCACGCTCTCCGTCGACGAAGTCTCGCAGTCCTTCGCGTGATTGAAAATGTTGTGGATCTTGGACCATCAATGGTATATTTCTTTTTTTTATGAGTCTTGTGCTACTGTATGAAACGCATTTTCCAAGAATTAAGAAAACTACCTCAAACCTACCTCAAATTATACCTCAACAATATATATCGTTACCATGATCTTAATCCTTTTTTTTGGCAGCAGTATTCTGTCGTGTTAGTGTTGATTTTCCGCAGTTATCAATGAAGGTTACACTGAATTTGATGTTGTTGTTTCAGCCCTCACTGTGATAAAAGTATGAGGAGGAAGGAGGAAATGATAAACGGATGAGTAGAGCACATACCACAGGATAGGAGACCTGGCCTTATCAGTGGAAGTATCAGAATAACGAATCTATGGACAGTTAGAGGGATAGGGATCACATCACAGAGTATTATGAGAGCACGATGAGAGCACGGGAAACGTTGAAGTACACGTGAGATTTTTTTCTCTTTCATTTTCAGGTCCCAGTCGTCTCCTTCGAATTTTTGTTGAGAATGAATAAATACATCAATCAGTTTTGTTTATTCATTTGTAGTATGTCTTCGCCATAAGGCTCCGGTACCAAGCCTTTTTTAAGGAATTACATGTGAAACATGAAAGTAAAAAAGATGTGCAAATGGATGGTGGAGTTATTCCATGCTCAAGTAAGCTTTGAACTCCTAACTCTTTTGAGTTCTTGTCTACAAAACAAGGCCACAACCCTGGCTAAGAAGTGAGATTGCACATTGTGCAGCAATCCTTTACCCATAAACAGATATTAATTTTTGCGGAAGTTAGTTGCAAGAGCATGGCATAAACAGATGGAACCAAGGTGGGAAGCCTAAACGCCTGTTAATTTAAAATAAGTCGAGCGCCTTACACTAGCACTTCGCTGGGCAAGAAGCGAAACGGATTAAATAAAGAGTATAACATATCGAATCCCCTCAACAAAATGATTGTTGGAGTGCTCTCCGCATAGTCAGTTCCTTTCTTGGCGGAGCTCGAAGAAAGAGTAAAAGTAGGCAGTGGTGCTGATTCCTTACACAAATTCTAACCGAAATTTAATCGGTACTGTGAAATCGGTGTTGAGTTGGTGGCCAAGCGAGAAAGTAGACACGAAAATGAAAATAGCAAAAAAGCCAGAAGCCAAATTAAGAATTAACAGGACTTATTATAAGGGGGAGGGGTTCGCTAGTGCGGGAAACCATGGCGGTGTTTTTTTGTCGTTGAATAACTGCACTTTTTTTGCTACTTTAGTACCGAACAACTAGTATAAAGTTAATGTTTTAGAAAAGTTTTCTGAAGTCGGAATTTCCAAAGAAAATGTGCCATTGGGATTGATGAAGTTGACATTGCAAGACTCACATCACCAACTGTTTTCTTGTGAAACTGGGCGGAAAGTTTTGCTTAGGAGGTTTTTTTAAGGGCTGAATTGATTATGGAGAAGCCATCTTTTGATTTCCATTGATTGCGTTGATCCTCTGATTTATTATAGTGAGGTGTTGTGGAGAGCTTGGTAGGGTTCTTGGTAGGCGGACGGCCTTAAACGAAAACCAAGGGGACGTCCAAGTGGATTCATTTTAAATTATAGATATTACCCGAAGAGTATGATCGATCTGAATTACCTTGGATTAAGATCTACAGAAGGCTAGACTGGATAGGTTCCAATCTGCATAGGGGATACAGACGATTTCTTTGTCATTCGACAACCCTCCCCTTTTCTGTAACTCGCGCTCCAATTTCTGTTGTCCTCCATCAGAGTGAAGTCATTTATTTGATGTAAAATTACAGTTTTTCATTTTAAAGCCTTAACCAGGTGTTGTGCTCTTCAAGAAGGGCGGACCTCCGCCAACTTCTGCAAAGCTCCATACTTATCCTGCATACTTTTAGATTTAAGCAGTAATGGCCTGTGTAGCATCGAAACGAGCAGGTTGAGAATGCCAATCATCGTTGGCGGAGGTGTTGGGCTTACATCATGGTCAGATAATCTCTATAAATTCCTGGATAAAACTGGGAGAGATTGGGATAATCCTTTTCTTCTCGAAGACTTGCAATCATTCAATTTTTAAGCCGGCTTTCGAGGGAAGGGAGGTACTCTCAACGCCTCCATTGAGTGTCAACCTCCCAGAAATGTTACAATCTCGTAGGCAACGTCTCCTGGATATCTCTGATGGCTCCCAGCAGATGCCAATCAATTCCTCGTCAAGTTAGTGCCAAGAGGGGTCGAAATCTCCGCGACGCAACCGAGGGGGCGTCGCGTTTGGCGCCGCTTTTCGGTCGTATTGAACGCACCTGGCGACTGGTCGCGTGGTCGTTGGCCCCGCCAGATCGAGTAATTCCACTCCTTCACTGTTGATTCTTATCTCTCTCGGCCTTCCCTCATATTCTTCTCGTGTTCAGTTGAAAGTTATTCAAAGTGGATGTGTTTTCAGAATGGGACGGGACGAAACACGAGTTTATGTGGGTAATTTGCCTCCTGATTGCCGTGAGAAGGACATCGAGGACATCTTCGCGAAATACGGCAAGATTCGTTATGTCGACATAAAAGGCGGTCGTGGACCTCTCTATGCATTTGTCGAATTTGAAGATCCACGGTGAGCAGAATTTGAAACTTTTTTGAGCTCCTTTCATTATATTAAGGTATTGGATCTGTCCCTGCCCTCCCCTTGCTCTCCATGCCGTGGTAGATGAGACCAGTCGTCCTTAAAACGAATCTTATCGCAAATTTATGTCGCACTTCCCCTGTTCTAGGGATGGAACTATGCAGAACTTATTTTCAATCATCATACAAAGGTTTGTTTGAAGGATAGTGCTGCAGTAAAGGATATCTGTAGGCCGTGGCACGATTTGGTAACCCCCATATGTCCATTTAAGCGGAGAGACCAAAATTACCCCGTAGAACGTGGTTAATGCCATCTATCCAAAGTGTATTATATCGTGCGGAGATAAGATCTTCTGCTGGTCTCCGCTGATCTTCTATTTTTCGGCAAAATTTGCAAATTTTCGTTTTTCATTCTGAATCTTTTAGCGACGCTGAGGACGCGGTCCATGGACGCGATGGCTACGATTTCGACGGATCTCGTATCCGCGTCGAATTCACCCGTGGAGCAGGTCCGCGTGGGCCAGGAGGTCGCCCCATGAACGGTGGTGGTCGTGGCGGCTATGGTGGTCGAGGAGGTGGCTTCGGAGGTTACGGTGGTGGTGGTCGTGGCCCTTCTGGCCGTAGCAACTATCGCGTTATCGTCGAAGGCTTACCAGCGACTGGTTCATGGCAAGATTTGAAGGTATTTTTTAGGACTGGTACCCTTACAAGCTTTATTTCTATCTGATTCCTTGAATCACTTTAAGGACCATATGCGAGAGGCAGGAGAAGTTTGCTATGCTGATGTTACTCGTGACGGCATTGGAACAGTAGAATATACTCGATTTGATGATATGAAATATGCCCTGAAAAAGCTTGATGATACAAAGTTCCGTTCTCACGAAGTGAGTTACTTTTCTTTGGCTCTAATTGGTCATTGACTTCAATGAATTGGTTCCAGGGAGAAACTGCCTATATTCGCGTGCGAGAAGACAGCAGTGGTGGTGGATACGGAGGCAGTCGTGGTCGCTCTCGATCGCGCAGTCCTCGCCGCCGAGATTCGCCGAAGTATAGCCCACGTCGTTCACGTTCTGCATCAAGATCCCCATCGCGCTCGAAGTCCCGCAGCCGCTCTCGTGACTGAACCACTCTGTGTATATGGATATTGGTCATGGAGTTCCGATATTTAATGGTATATTTCTGTTCGTAAATACGTGTCGTAATTTTTCTGTACTATACGGTCTAAATTGAACTACCTCTAACATAATCTACCTCACACCATAATTTTTGTTCTCATACCTTCATCGCTATCTGTTGACATTGTGCTGCAGCGGTTTTCAACCGCGTCATTGTTATTTGTTGCAGCTTTCAATGAAGTTTGAATGAAATTCACAAAGCTGTTTCAGCCTCAAACCGACTCTGAGAAAGGAAAGAGGAGGAGGAAGGAGGATAGGATAAATGGAAATCTAAAGGATGCTCAGGAAAGTAGGAGATTGGCCACAATCACTGAATGCCAGGACACCATATTGTGTGGACAGTCGATTTTGTTTGGGAGGGATAGGAATAACGAGACAAAAGGATGGGAGTACAGGAACCGGAATCGGGATCTAATTCAATACGTGAGATTTTCCTTGCTCCTCTTTTCCATCCATGATTCATCATACCTACCCAAGGTCATATTTACGGGTCCACTGAAGAATTTAACTAAATCTGCAAATTAAGTTAATGTTTGAAACGTCCAACAAGCACTCGTGGACTATAAACTGCTCTAGGAAAGCCGGCTCTAGATCCATTATTGATGGATTCGTAATAAACGCGGGAACCGTTACCCACTAACCAAACGGCCTTCTTCTTACTGTAATAACCCCTTCTTTTTAATCTTCTTCCAGCTTGATGATGAGCGACCAGCACACCACACAGTCGTGAACTCGTGAACGGCTTGTCTTCCCTTGAGCATTCAGTTTATTCAACACATCCACTGTGTCCACTGCTGGCATCCGGCTTTTAGGTGCCATTTTGAGTCTATCCTAAAAAGAAGCGCTGCCCTTTTTCAAAGGTATTAGAACTCTCACTTGGCGTGACCAGTTCCGTTCCTAGTTAAATGATTCATTATTCTTGATCATAAAATTGAACATTTCACCTTTACCTTTGGTTAAAATTTCACGAAGCGTTTTCTTTGCAATTTCATAAGTTGTAAGTTGCTTTCAAGAGCCACTTGTAAGGATAGCACCCATCATTGGGTGCGAGATAAAGGGTACCCAAAATGGGTAATTAGGACTATATCTTTGTCAGAGCTACTCGTCGCATCCCGAACAGGTATGAAAATGCAGAACGAACACCCGGTTATCGCAGTGGCTCTAAGGTGAAATAAAATGCAGTGGACGCAGGCATCCATAGGCAACATATTTCCTTTCACTGCTTACGCTTCGGTTACACAAATCCTCAGCTGAATACACAAAAATTCTCAGCAACACACGTATACGACACATTAGGAAGGAATTTTGGGCTCGGACGGGTGGGCCAACCTCGGGATACATTGCACCGCGAGCACTCATCTCAACCAAGTCCCAATTAGTGCAGGGACCGAATGCTCGTACTTAGTTTTCATTTGCGTCCCAGTATTTTTTGAAGAATTTAGGCTCTCACCCTTTTGAGAAAAGCTAAATTCAAAGCGTTTTTCGAAAGGTTTCCTGATATTTTATTATTTGTCATAGCGAGCAATGTTGTGGAGATTGGTCCCATACTTCAACCTCTCTGCCAAAGAGCATACTGGTTTCAAAATAATTCAGTTCTATGAATTATAGAAAGTGTTACTAGGCTCGAAATGAAACGGTAGGAGGAAGCCAGTAGCGAGAAGAGTGGCCTATATCGCGTCTCATGTCAGTCGCCACTTTATAAAATAAATGAGAGGTAACCTATAAATAATACCAGGCGGCCACGGACGCTATCGCGTGCGTTAGGAGCTCTACCCGTGAGGGACAGGGCCACATGAGCTGATTTTAGTTCAGCTGACCTTTATCCGATTTATGAGTTCCCACTCAAACCCTGCCCCCTGTGGCCGGAGTCTGGTCCTACCACCCACCATAAGTATTCCCGTCCTGTCGCCTGTACTCCTTCCAACTTTGAACTGTCTAGGTCCACGGGGACAGGAGTTATGATTTCCCAAAATGCTGTCATAAAGCATTGCAGTTTTGGGAAACTCCCGACCCACCGGGGGTGGGTCTGCCCAGTTCGATCAAACTTATCAATGCACACCTCTAGCCACCTCTAAACCCTAGTTTTGAAGCCGTCTTGTGACTGAATTTGAAATCGTGGTCCTCGGTACAGCTCATTTCGATGCACGCTACGCCCACTGTAGGCGGGCTCCGCCAAGCCGAAGCATGCTTTGTATTTCTCGGGTAACGGAACTTCTCCCCTATCGCGGCATTCTCCCTTGCGGCATGCGGCAAATGTCATTGCAATTACCGTACTCACCTCGCCTCCCGAAAATCGATAGGACGCGATATTTTTCCTTGACTGGCTTGCTTTTTCATTGGATTTTATCGTTTTTTCTTCTGTTTCTTTTTAGTTTTCATGTTTATTAGACTTGATTAATTAAAATGACTCCCCTTATATAAACGACGATCAATACCGCATTGAAATTGAAGGGAGCGACCAGCCAATTCAAATGATTAAAGGACTCCCTACTTCACAAATTGCGCGCTCCAATCTTTCATCGCAATCCTGCGATAGGCGGCGGGTGCGGCGTGTGCGACGCCGTGTTAGGGGAGAAGTTCCCGGACCCGTATTTCTCGGGACATGGCCCAGCCATCCCACGCTTGACTCGGTCTTCCCAGGCAGATCTAAAGAAGCTGAGGAATTTCAGACAGAGGTACAGACAGACGACAGACAGACAGAACGACGGACGAAGCGCTTCATAGTAAGTAGGATCAATGAAAAGACTGAGGCTCCACCTTTCTTCTGTCAGCGTCCTAAAGGGGACTTTCTAAAATGCGGTGAAGTAGTGGATAGGATCTCATTGGGAAAATCTCTCCATGTAGAGGAGTATCGTGTGTTCAAAAACTGAAATAACGATCTGCTAAGTTACTTCCATTATGTTTCCATCCGACTCGCAGAGCAACGAATATTCAGAATTCCAGTTCTGGCGAGGTTTACTAAATGACGACCCTATATCTTAACAACGATTTCTGGAATCATTGAGATGAAGATCTGCGCCGTTCAAGATACCCTTGAATTGTTAGGAATTTACAAAAACGACCCTACAATCGCTCGCTAAATGCTTTACACTTTGAGCAGCACAAACGATTAGAGCTGATCAAATCTTCCCGACGTAAAAATATCTTTCCCGGAATTCTGCCGTCAACATAGCACACTTATTTTCCCAGTCTCGAGAAACCTGATCCCCTTGTACTGTTAACAGGCAGGGACGTCTTGGAAGGTTTTTCTTCTTTTACTAATTTTACATCAAAATATGGTTGTGTTTCTTTTGTTCCGCCGATTTCACCGCTCGGTGGACTTCGCTCCCCGCACGCCGATCGATTAGCTATCGAACGTAGGCCACCCAACGATCGATTCACTTTCGGCGGCGGGTCGACTGCGATACGCAGCCGCCGCGACGCGTCCGAGGCTGCGTGGCGTCCCCACCATTAGTCCCTCGTTGTACTTTCGGTGCCCTGCTGCACAGCTTTTCTTGGGGGTTATTTTCGATCGCTTGAACCGTCGTGGAACAAAATAGTTGTCTAGATTGTTATCATTTAGAATGGTACGCGAGGAGACTAGAATTTACGTCGGCAACTTGCCTCCAGATTGTCGTGAGAGAGATATTGAGGATATCTTTTCGAAATATGGAAAGATCCGTTTCGTGGATATAAAAGGTGGACGAGGACCTCTCTATGCCTTCATAGATTTCGAAGATCCTCGGTAAGTGCATTGTTTTGAAACATGGCTGTAATTTTCATGAAATAGAGTGAACACGTGCCAAGGAACACTTTATAAAATTTCGCAACTAATCTGGACATCGATCTATCAAAATAAACTAACGTTCGTCAAGGTTTCGCATTTGAAAGTGCAAATTGGGGGTTATCTAGATCTTGTCGCTTACACTCACGCTTTAGTTCACTCTAGTTGTCTGAGTTCCTCTTTAATCTTTAGAGCTCTTTAATCCTAGTGAATGTTGCACTTTTGACGATTGTTCTTCAGCGACGCCGAAGATGCTGTTCGTGGCAGAGATGGTTACGATTTTGATGGATCTCGTATTCGTGTTGAGTTCACCCGTGGAGTTGGGCCACGTGGTCCCGGAGGTCGACCTCTGAATGGTGGTGGCGGCGGTCGTGGAGGGTATGGGGGTTACGGCGGCGATTTTGGTGGTCGCCGTGGTGGTCCCCCTAATCGTCGTTCCAACTTCCGCGTCATTATAGAAGGTCTTCCACCGACCGGATCATGGCAAGATCTCAAGGTCAGTTTGGTTATTACACTAATTTTTCGATTATTATACAGAGTTATTTTGAAGGATCATATGCGTGAGGCTGGAGAAGTCTGCTACGCCGATGTCGCCCGTGACGGTACGGGTGTAGTGGAGTTTATTCGCTATGATGACATGAAGTATGCTGTCCGAAAATTGGACGACACAAAGTTCCGATCTCATGAAGTAAGTTTACTGATTATCCTAATTCGTAGAGTTTTTGCTATTTCTGCTGCTTTTTAGGGAGAAACAGGCTACATCCGTGTTCGCGAAGACCCCAGTGTAAGTGGCGGAGGGTTCCGAGACCGCTCAAGATCGCGCAGTCCTCGTCGATCATCTCCAAAGTATAGTCCTCGTCGTTCTGCCTCACGATCACGATCTCGCAGTCTCTCGCGCGACTGAGAATTTGATGAATGTTATGGATTTGGATGTTATGGATTTCCGAAAGGATAATGGTATATTTCTTTTCGCATAAGTATGTTACGCACATGTTATTTGTGAAATTTGTCTTGTAGCGGTTGTACACCGTTCCAGTGTTGGCATTTTGTATATTTCAATGAAGATTACACAGTCTATCACAAAGTTGTTTCAGCCTCCATTCCACAATGAGAAGGGGATGAAGGAGGATATGATGAATGGAGAGATAAAGGACATACTGTAGGATAAGAAATTGGCCACAATCAGTGGATTGGATTACGATTCAATTCAACTGTCAATCAATTCAAATGTGGACAGTCAATTCAAACGGGAGGGATAGGGCCACAACACAATAGGATGGGAGCTCGGGACTCAATCCGGGGACATAGGAGTATACGTAAGATTTTTCGTATTCTTATTTCAGGTGGTCGTCGTCAACATCGTGATCAAGAATTGAGCTTTTTGTCTTGAAAAGTTTAATAAATCATTGTTTTTGTCATGTGCTGTACAGCCTGATGATCAGCTTTAGATAGTGTTTTTCAGTACCTCGTAACTCGCCAGTGTTATGCAGGTTTGTCTGTGTGTCAGGATATAGTGGTAATGAACTGAATGGCTAGAATACGTGGGGAGCGTTCACGTCACCATATTGAGTAGAATGAGTACATATTTGCGTTCATATCCCCAAAAAAGCTGTCAGGTCAAGGCATGTGGTAGTGCAGGCAGGCAATGTTCTTTGATTCCATATACGAGCTCAGAAATGGACATGCTAGTCCTTCACAAGTGAACATTGTAGGATCCCAGTTGCCCTGTTTGTACGTAGAACATCATATTAGCCGAAGCAGGATAAATGTAGGAGGTGGGAATTCATAGAGAGGATTGAGGGCCATCCGCACTAGTGCATTAGGTGCTTATCTAGCTGAACAGCAGAGCTCTTCTCAGGCGTAGCTACAATATTTTTTACTCTCGTACAGATTGTAACTTATTTGACTTCACTAGAATAATTACCAGTCGGAATACGTTCCCTTGGTCTGAGACTTGCTACCTCTAGCGGCGGCCCCTTCCTCAGCAATGCACCTTCTCCAATCTCTCTCCCCCAAATCCTTCATTTCACTTGGGCATGCTCTTGGTAATTCCTGTATCACACGCAACTAAGAGAGTACTGATTTGTTAGGAAAAACTTGATGAGGACTTCCAGATCTCCATCTGGTGATTATACCAAATGAATTTGAAAGGTCGTTGGCGGATGAATTCAGATCATTTCGGGCAAGCCATTCCCACCTGGTTCGACCAAATGTACATTTGCCAATTTACTGCTTCGCAAACACGAACTTGGTCACGGCTGTTAGAACCAATTAGTTCCTTAGACCAAAACCAGTTCATTTATTTGTATCCCCAGTGCCCACCAATCACTCCATGGAACTGAAAACCTGTTCCCTGTTTTCTAAGTAGAAAGGGCTACTTTTCAAATTGTGCGTCGCTTTCAGGGCAATGTCCGCAAAGTGCAATACTTCGCCGAGAATTTTCTCGAAAATTAATCACGTGCTCGTGGGTGACACACACCGTCGTTGGTTGTTAGTAGTGTATCCTTTGTTTGCTTAACGTTATCATCTTCCCGAATCTATAGATTATCGTCATATTTGTGAAGAATTAATGCAGGTATGTCGAAGCGAGCGCTGTGGCACCTATTATTCGCAAAGGAACTTTTTTACGCACCATAATTGGTTCGCGAAGCCGATTAACCCTTCTTTTCTGCTCTCTGCCGTTCAATACAATGGAAAGGGGCTGTGGTCCCCTTCACCTAACTAATTTTCGCTTTGTTCTCCACAATATTGATATTTTTCTCTTGATATGATATAAGGTTCTCTTCGAATCTCTGAGTTATGATAGAATAAGAAGCGTGTGAATATTGGATGTTCTGCGCGTGTTTTTTTTTTGAATTTGCCACATTGTACAAAACGAACGCATGAAGAACTACTTCGGGCGTGAGGCCTACTATTCGAGAAAACAACCGCCCTGGCGTCGAGCAGTTCATTGGGCTTGCGACAGCAGGTCGTAAACACGCCCAGCGGGACAAGGCTGAATCATCACGGAGACTTTTTCAGTGGACGTCAATTCCAAAATGGCCATGCAATCAAACTTGAGACGGCGAGGCAGTTTCGCAAAGTGAAGTGGAAAATGAGCAAGCCTCGGCTATCCTGCAGCTCGGGATCTCTGAGTCTGCCTTATCAGAATATAAAATCCTGCTTATCTGGCAAGTTGAGCTTACATTCATGCTACCGAAGAGGACGCCGGCCGAATGCATCCAGATTAAGTAGTGAGGAATGAATCCCGTGGGGTACTAGAGGGTTACTGTATCTTTCCTTCACAGAACGTTAAATTTCCTCTAATGCCCTGCTTCTGCTTGTTTTCCCAGGAAAGCTTTGTTATTACTGTAAAGAAAAGAGTTAAGAGAAACCTATTCTTCTCGAATTGGTTGGGCAGGGAGGACTTTGAGATCTGTTCTTAATAAACACGTTCCCAGTCCAGCTCCTTGTTTTCTGAGTTTTTTTTTCCTAGTTGCCTGGTGCTGAAAGGTGTCAGGCTACGGGCGTCGATATCCCATGGGTCGTTGACTCTTGCTCGAGTCTAATGCTATCGAGGCGCGCGAACTAGTCTGCTCTGTTGATCTCTTGCTGAGGTAACAGCTGATTACTGCTTTTACTTTGACGTTCAAAACTTTGCTTGAATAGTTAAGGAGGACAGGCATGTCTGCTTGGAGTGAATTTTTGTGATATATCGATCATTGCCATCGTCTGTCATTTTCCAGCAGACTGTCGCCCTTGGCGGGGCTAGTTTGATTCCAAGGTCAGGAAAGGATTTACTGCTGAAATCAGTTTTAGGCCTACATCTTTAGGCATTACCTCGAGTTAGAGGCTCGTGAAAATACGAAATTCATTTCAGCGCGAAATTTGTCTATCCATAGTAACTAATGGTATACCAGAATTTTGGGAACCGGAGGTATCCAGAATCGCCTAACTCTTTGGTTGACTAGACTGAGGACCATTCCTTATTCAGTTTTTTCATGGTTCACTACTGTAATGAAATGGAGTGATCCAGTAAGCCAGGAGGATAAAGCTGCATTAGACGAGGAAATAAGGTGAAGTAGCAAGATCTACTTGCGTGCCGTGGTGTGGGATGATTGCTGATGGGAACGGATGCATAGAATTTTTGTTTCCGCTGCTTTCACCAGCCCCGGAAACGGTGCTGCTTCCCGGAAGACGACTGGAGTGCTCGTTAACTGCTTTAATGTCTTTGCGAAATAATTGGAGAGCATAAGCGGAAGAAAGCATTTGTTGAAGCTGTGCTTATTAGCTATGCGGGTGAAAATGTAGTTGAGAAAGATAGGGGGGGGGGCACTCATCCTAAGGTTAGCATATCAAAAAATGAATTCCGTCTAGCACTGTATCAGGGGCGAGGACTCTACGAAAGCGGATGAGCAGCTGTCAGACTTATGTTGGGTTAAATTCGCTTCGGAAAGGACAGTGCTTGGAATTCCCCCATACACGCAAGTGCAGAGGGGAATCCGGAGTTTCGAGCTCCCTCATCGAACGAAGATCGGGATGCCGTTGATTACGCCAAGAAATCGAAGATCATTTGGGCTGGACACATGCGTTATAGTGATGACCGTTGAACCAGGACGGTTACTGACTGGATCCCTCGGTCGGGACATCAAACGAACTCCAGGACAGCCACCAACGAGATGGTCAGATTTCCTTACGAAAGCTTTGAACGAAAGGAATGTTGAGCCTTGTGTCCCTGAAGCGAAGACGATTCACTGGACCACCCTGGCTCGTGACAGGGACGAATGGAGACGTTACTGGCGCCCGCTCGAGGAAGTCGATGATCAACGGGACGACAGGTGATACAGGTGATCCGAGGCGTAGAGCGTGATGGGCGCCGACCATATGTGCTCTTTTATGCGGTTTTAGCCAAGGAAATGTAGTCTGTTAACTAAGCCTAAGTAGGTAGGTGCACCTAGGTGGATGAAATGATTAACTCGTGCGAAAAGAAAGAGAACATGCTCACCGCGGTGCTCCTTCCCTTCTAAGGATTATGTAAAAACTGGCGTGTCTCTGATGTAACACGGTTTCATCGAGTCCATTCCTTGTTATACTAACATTGTGATGAGTGGCTCGATCCCTCCATCTACGTTTTCACCACTGTGCTTATTGCAGCCAACGTAGTGAATATTCAGAATGGCAATCGAGCTGTTATTGCTCGGCCTCTGCACTTGGAATTTTCGTCGTTCGTTTCCTTCCCCAGACAAGTGCATTGGCTTGTGGGTGTCGTTGGCATTTGTTGGCAAAGTGGGTGCCCTAGCCGACAGAAGGACATTCGCACGTACGTCTCCATGGGTGTGCGTGCGGTTTGCACTTTCCCTGTCGATCGATTCCGCGATTCCATTCGTCCGTTCGAGCTCGCCCTTTCATTTCCTCTCTCAACTCGTTCTCTCATGTTCTACCCTGTTACCGAACGTGAACAAACTTGTGATACGTTATCTTTCGCTACCAAGTATATCCTCCCGGAACCACCACTTCTTCATTTGGCTTTGTTCCTTTGCTGAAGCGGTCATAGCTATGACTTCCCTTGTTGCTGATTACGGTAGAATATCAAATTATAAGACGTACGTTTCAAACTAGTTGAATTAGTTCATATGGTATCTTTAGGTGGCTCTTTTAGCTCGCATAATTTCTAGCTGGCTGTTAAATTTCTCATTCCCATGAAGTGCAGTCAATCTAGAGCAGCTTCTCTTTTCACCGTTATGGTTCCAATCCTAATTATGATAGGGAATTAAGGAAGAAGCATTTAATCCATCCTGGAAGAAGTCCGAGGGTGATTCTGAGGAAGCGGTAGACCTATTGATCACACCTATTGATTGATTACCATATCCTTTTTTTGGAAAGTTCTCTAAACCAAAGTAATGTCAGCAAATCTCGTGGAGAAGCTTCAACTGTTCTGCAAGTTTTCGTCAAAGTTAGAGCTAATCGATGCATTTAGTGCGGGTTTACATAATGGAGTGCCACCTGGCTGTTGAGGCGTTCGAGGGGAAAAATGAGGGCTTAGTGTGTAAAACATTTGTGTTTGTCTTTTCCACTCTAGCAAAGACCCCTACAGCGGTGAAGATTCGTTCCCTATGAATCTGCCGATTCTTGTGGACATCTTTTTAATGTGGCACAAACATTTTGTGAAGTATATGTTGTTGTACTTTGTAGTATGCATTTTTGACGATATACGACACTTAGCGATTTCATGTCAGTGCACGCTCACATATTTATGAACCATCTCATGCATGTTCGATTCTAATTCATTCTCATTTGCATACCTTTCTTGATAATTTTCTGCAGCTTTAGAACTGCCATGGGTCGTGATGATACACGTATCTACGTTGGAAACCTACCACCGGATGTTCGCGAGAAAGATATAGAAGACATCTTTGCGAAATATGGAAAAATTCGTTTCGTTGACATAAAAGGAGGCCGTGGACCGCTTTATGCTTTTGTTGAGTTTGAAGATTATCGGTGAGAGATGGCTTTTTTGTTTCTGAGCTTAGACTCTAGTGCAATAGATCTGCTTATATGTGTTGTGTAATGATTTTTGATATGATTTATTGCGTTTCAGTGATGCTGAAGACGCTGTCCGTGGAAGAGACGGCTATGATTTTGATGGATGCCGCATTCGTGTCGAGTTTACTCGAGGAGTTGGTCCTCGTGGACCAGGTGGCCGTCCCATGAATCCTGCTTACGCAAGGGAATGGCCAACCCCGCGCCGCGGTGGACCTCCATCACGACGTTCGAATTTTCGTGTTATTGTTGAGGGCCTTCCACCTACCGGATCATGGCAGGATTTGAAGGTATTTCAGTGGTTTTTGTTGTCAAAGAAGCTCAAGTGTTTGTTTTTCAGGATCATCTACGAGAAGCAGGAGATGTTTGTTACGCTGATGTTGCCCGCGATGGGACAGGGGTGGCTGAGTTTACACGATACGATGACATGAAATATGCTGTCCGCAAGCTCGATGACACAAAGTTCCGTTCTCATGAGGTACAGTTGAAAATTACTGTTCGAAATTTCTTAATTCCAGGGATTACTTTTATTTAAGGGCGAGACCGCATACATTCGTGTCCGTGAGGACATAAGTGGTATCGGTCGCAGCCGCTCCAGAAGTCGATCTCGCAGCCCTCGTCGCTCTTCACCGAGATACAGCCCTCGTCGCTCGCGTTCGCGCAGCCGCTCACCGTCACGCTCTCCATCTCGCTCGCGCAGTCGTTCGCCGCAGGAGTGACGGCCAACAGGAGAAGTCTTCCACTCCAACGATCTTCGATGACCATTCGAATGGTACATTTATGTTTGTACAAGCGTGTTTCGTGAATCACAAAATGCTTGTCTCTAATTATAGTTTACGTTTCCAGTTTTCTTGAAATTTCAAGTAATTTGTTTTTGTTGTGGTTCTGGCATAGTGTTAGTAAAATATCTTTATTGGATTTCTAATTGAATGAAGCATTTTGTTGTTGCCACTAAAACTACAGTTTCAGCCTCCACTCCACAATGGGATAGGAGGAGGAGGATGAAGGAGGAGGATATATCTGTCTAAAGGACATACAATAGGATATGAGATGAGCCACGATCAGTGGAGACAAGCGACCAATTAAAGAGGGATGGGGAGCGAGCAATAGGACGTAGGACAAGGGATCGGGGCGATGGGAACGCGTGAGATTTTTGTTCTTGTTTTTAAGGTTTTCACCGCTTTGATCACTTATAATCGTTTTTACTTTTGTCGATCTTTCTACCATATCATACTTTTGTTTTTTCTGGTCGTCGAAAAGACGATCTTTTCAGTTTTCAGGTGAAGGAGAATGTTTGAACACCCGGAAATCAACTTCCATTTTTCTGAGCCTCCAATTGATATATGGGGTTGTGCTGTGACGCGCCGCTCTGTAAACGTCGGCATTTTCTGGGCTCGCTTTCAACGACAACGAATTAGTTGGTAGAATCGAGGGAGGGTCAGATGGGTGTAGGTCAGCTTGTGCCATGGCGGTAGGTGCGCTGTGACTGTAATGAGATCGTGTCGGTAATCTTCACCTTGAGTTGATAAGAAGTCCCGGCACGATGAATCGAGTTTGTTCGAAGCGCCTACTATGGCAGCATATGCTGACCTTCACCCATTTAAAGGGATTGGTGTAAAAATAATTTTTGGAAAGCAATCTTTAGCTGCGAACACAGATGCTGAACTGAAGTTAGAAGCGCGCACAGCAAGTGTATTCGGCATAAATGTATAGATGCATTCTAACTACCGACGCCGGCGTCGATGCTTGCTGTCGATATAAAACAGTCGTTGAATCATGCTGCATTTAACGCCTTTCTGAGTTCCGATATAAGGAAAAGGCCTGCTGAGGTTGAGAAAGCTGAAGGCACAAAGTCGTATCCAAGTCGTTGCAGCTCAGTATTCAAACAGATAATGTAAACGCTAAAAACAGTTAGTACACGAAGATAGGCAAGGAACAGGCGTTTGAACGCTCAGAAATTGTTTGATACAGCAAAATCATCTACCCATGGGCTACCGATCAAGAGCTGACGCAGTTCTACTGTAATCATTTCACAAAGCCTTCCACAGGTCCTGCTGTTTTATTTATCCATTCGTGCGATAGCTATTTACATTTATCCGATGCATTGAAAAATCGAAAAGTTTGGTCCGTGTTTGTGTTGCTTTAGACGCCTTTGGTAATTGTTTTTCAAATACCGGAAAAGGGTTTTAATATACGAAGACCATCGTTCGATTGTAGCTCCATTACTTTTGTTATGCGGGAATCGACGTCCTGATAGAAATATATCTCTGGTTTTTTGAATTGTGTGTGGTGGTGGTTGTCACTACTTGTTGACGTTTAGTCTTAATGGTTAGGGCATCTACAGGCCCTATCTTAAGCAGGGATTTTTTATGCACATGTACTGCAGTGCATTCTATTCCCAGTTTACTTTGGTGTGTTTACCCAATAGGCTTTTATGAAAACTCTGTTAGTCAATTGTTTGTACGTTTTCTATGATGCCATATTCCAGTTATATATGTCTGACCCACGCAAGCGTTCCCATTTGAAAGGGAGAACTTTCTACAGATGTTGAGTATGCTGATGTGGTGTTGAAAACCTCTCATCTGTTCTTCGATTTGAAGTTCCATTTATTTTGTGGGGTTATAAGGTAACCACCAGTGACACCAATAGCAGATTATGCAGTTCAAGGTCCAACGTACTATAATATAGACAGTGTTCACTCTTTTACAACTGCATTTGTTTTTAAAAGGGCTTTCTAATATGGTTTTTCCAAGTGCATTCTATTCGATTTAGTTTGTTTTTTTCACTGGATTTGGATCCCATGCCATATTCTTCGCCTGTATTTTAGTTTTCGCTGTTGTAAGAGTACGATTTTGGGTCGAAAAAGCCTTAATCGATCAGACACGTATATGTCGGAGTGTACCATCAAGTGAGCGCATGGGAAGCAGATAGTTTTTTCTTGCCAGGCATCTTACGTCGTATATATTGAACATGAAGGGTTCTAACTCGGTAAATCGACACAGTTGGGCATGCCACGGTAACCAATCATTGTGGGCTACGGATCAATTCCTGGGTCCGTTTCACTTGCCCAGTGCTCTCCAAACTTCTTTTTACGATTTTTTTTACACATTTCCAAGCGCGGCCTCCGGCTGATTCCTTGGGGGATTCGTCATTCCTGCAGCAGTTTGATCAGTTCTGCTTCTATGATGATGCCTTCTCTGATTAGCTCTATAATAGGAATTTTTTGCGGTTTTGAAGGCGATGTTGTCCATCTTTCTTGTCAGCTTTTGGTTAATTACGTAACTGATTGATACACCTGGAAAATACTGTCTAAGTTCGACTCATCGTGTAGTACAGAAGTTCATCTACGGTCGAAAAACCTAGGTTTTCTTCCAGAACACGTGAGAGGGGGCCCATCTCTCTCACATTCGGCTGCTTTCATAGTCCACGATTCGGCCCGCGACTAGTTGCGCGAAATGTTGGGCATAAGTGAAGTGGTATGAGTGTTTCGGAGGAACCATATGATCCAGCAATTCAAGATTTGGCAATTCATTACTCACTAGATACCCTCAACCTTGTAGCTTTTGCTTCAGGGCGTACATGGCTTTGTTTTTGTTTTTTTTTGGTTTTCATTTTTAGAACATCTCGATTGTCAAATTACTGAAAGCTCTGATAACTATAGATTCTTTGTGAGCTGTATGTGTACGAGTTTTCTTACAGGTTTCTGAAGTCTGCATGCTGGCTAAGAAATGGTGTCAGTGGCATCAGAGCTCCAGTGGCGACGGGCATAGTCTTGCAGGAGGAGATACTCCGATTAAGGTATGTTGACGGAACGGGCTTCTTTTTCTGGAGCGATGATTCAAACGCCTTTGGTGACAGTTCATCTCTTTTCTCAACAAAACTGTCATCTGACTGTGTGCCTTATCACAATAGTACTGGTGACGGCACCACTCGGTATTTTTGATTTCACAGGAATGGTTTCTCTGACTGTAGTTCTCACTCTGATGTGCATTTCACTGCCCCTTGCGAGTAATGTGAAGTGTTATGTGGGTATGTAATTTCTTAATTCTGTCTGCTAAGTAATCCGTACCTAGCAGAGATTATCTTGTTCATAAAAAGGGAAAAGTTAAAGTTTCAAACAAGTCATATCTCAGTAAAGTAAAAGAAGCTGAAGCAATATTTTTTCATTTAGAATTTTATATTGACGATTCTGTACTTTTTTT